AGAAACGAGAGAGCAAAACGAGTAATTGGTAATACCCCTATGACTCGTCTTTCTCACTGAAAAATCCCCCGAACATTAGGCAGATGGCGAGAGTAAGCTCTACCAGCCGTTAGGTATGATGGTAGAATCTTAGGAATTCACGGACTGCAGCACTGAATTCAGTTGCTATGTCGTGTAAATCAGAGGATCATGTGGTGATAGGAGGTATATGGATGAGGTTTGCCGCGCGGGACCGCCCGCTAGTACAGTATAACACCAGGAGTACATGCGCACCAACAACTAGATCCCCCAGTAAATCCGAGAGCCCCACCTTTCTACCTTTCTATACTCTCCTGATCGGTTGTGATTAACTAAGGTTTAATCAGCTTTACAAGCTAAACTTCTTTTGTCAACATGCACGTGCATGATAATCCCGGCTCTATCTCTTCACATACCTATCGGCACATACGCTCACGCATATCCGTATAACACAAGGATCAGTTGTGATTTTTTATTTTTTATTTAATACGTGTCACTGGCAAATGTCGAGGGTTTGTCGAACGTGTGGCCACTGCCTGTCGGTTTATACTTTCCTAATTTACCGATCGGATTGATGTCGGGTAAATAGGGGCCAATCGCTGGTGGCCAGCAGATGGTATGCGATCACATCTCACCTCTTATGTTCTCCTGATAGCAAAATTCACAGAATGCTAGACGCATTGGTGACACCGAGTCAATTTCCCGGGTGTCATAAACTATATTTCGTATGGGAATACAGACCGCCGTTAACTACCAATACAGTTGATGCAGACCATCATTCAGAACATTTTCGTTATAATTTTTATAATAGGATGATTCGTTTTTAATTTTATTCCGGTCTGGAGATTTTATAATTGCAGTTGAACTGTGAGATTGTTTTTTTTTTTATTAATTTCTCCGGGTTGGGATTTTTTAAGTTTTTTTTTAGATTGGGATATTTAGGTTTAAGGCAAAACCCAGTGAAGTTAAAGTCGTTTGGGTAGTAGTCTTGGCCTTTTCCTGGCTCGGTGATTAGGGGGTGTTCTTTCTGAGTAATAACGCTTCTGAAGCATTGGAGATTCATATATCTGCACGCAGCATTGGTTGGGGAAGGGGCAGGGGAATATATCGGCCAGGGAACAGCCCGAGGGGACTTGTAGGATTCCACCAGGAGATGCTGGAGAAGCCCATGGGATAGTTGTGAGTGCGAAATACTCTGGTGGCCGCCCCCGACTCATGGGAATGTCCTCCAGCTATATCAGCCTCTTCTTCATCATCTCTTCAGCCCATCAAAAACTACGATTTCACGGGAATGCGGGACCTTCGTGTCGAAATGCTTATATATAGCCACAATCTCATATTGTTGAGAAGAGGGGGCTATATATCTGTGCACTACTGTGATTATATGAAACTGTTTGTGGATAGCTCTAGGATATCACCGACTACCTGCGCAAAACTCAAAATCTCTGTTTGATGATCACCTATTATCAGTAGAATAATTTTTCTCTCGTTCGTGGATCAAAATTTAGCTACCTGGTGCTACTGAGAAGATAGAAAAAACTTGAGATCTGAAGGGAATTAGAGGAAAGATTTAGTGATCATTATTTCATCTATTGAAAAGTGAAAATTGGATTATTTAAAATTTTGGGGAATTCATTATTTATTTTACAATTTTTATCATTATTTATTTTTTAATATTTTAATTTATGAATATTGATTTTTATTAGGATGTGATTTTAGGAGAAAGTTGACAGTTTGAGAATTTTTATCGATACCACTTACACTTTGATAATGGATTACTTTTGAAAAGTGATGATAATACTTCTGAAAATGGTACCTATCACTTTTTATCTCTATTTTTATTTACTTTTAAAAAGTTTCTGGGATAATGCTATAAAGTGTTTTTTTTTTTTGCTTTTCAGAAGTACATCTGTAATTTCGATTTCTACTTGATGAAAAAATTGTGGGGGCGGTGAGGAGTTGTTTATAGGCTTTATACTTCTAAATTAAAACAAGTGGCGAACTGCTCTCATATCGCATACCATATAGTTATCTTTAATAATAAATTAGCAATATGCTTCCGATTAATTATTTTCCGTATTACCTTTCCCTTTTGAGAATAAGCTCTCGTTTTCATTTCATTATTTTGAATGATTCGGTAAGTGTACTTTTGTGACCAAAAATAAAATAATGATTCTGCACATTGGAAAATTTAATTTTGAATGAATTTTTTTATCGGTATATCATTATATTTTATCCATATCATATATTTATATGGACCATCTCACCAACTCTCGCCTTCCTTCGGTAATTTTCCATTTCGTTCTTCCGGATCCTTAAGTAAGAGCCCATAGCCTAATTCGAAGCGTTCAGCGTAATCAAGAGTTCTGAACTCCAAATTCTTCGCTCTTATATAAAATGTGGAAAACTGAAACAAATTCTGTAATTAAACGTTTTCTCAGTTTTTCAAAAAAGGCGGTCGTTTGATTATCCTCAGACGCAAACTCCACGCGAGTAAAAAACCGTATCGTATCGGACCGAAAATATGCTATACCCAATACCTCGGAAATTAATGGTTCGATTTCAATTTCTGATAACATCTGAAACAAAATATTTAGTCACGCTGATTTTCTGACTTCTCATAAATAATGACGGAATATAAATTTTCTGTTAATGCTTTTTAACGGTAGTTTCTTGACCGACCAGAAGTCATTAATTTTTGGAGTATATCGCCATTTTTTATATAGAAAATTACCGGATTGTTCAGACTAATCATTTTATTGTAACAGCACAATCACTTGATTTGAGTAAGACATCGCAATAGCTGACATTTTTCACTTAAGGTGGTTGTCGCGCGACAGTCTCTGTAAAAAGTTTATCCGCTGTAAAACGGGCCAGTTTAGAACACAATCTTTTAGCGGTATATAGTCTCACTTGATTGATTGCATTGTGCATGGATAGCTAGAGCATAACTATATATTTTCCATATTAACTATTTTCAATTATATAAATTTATGAATTTCCGATAATTATATTCCGTAAACCAAACGGTCAATCGATTTGATTTTTTTTTCCGTATTTCCTCCCACGATGTATATTCCACGTTTTTTTTTATTTCTGAAACTGTCGAGCCGTTGATTTTTAAAAAATTCTAATCGGCAAAACTCCATTTAAACACGTGTTAAATCACTCGAATTTCAAAAATTTATATCTCAAGTTCAAAACGGTCAATTGCAAACGGAAAAGGCTCATTTTGTTGCTAATTTTTCAAACTATTCACCATAAAATTGTTAACGAAAACTGTCGAAAAAAAATTCTACGCGACAACAACTTTAAAAAATGTTGATTTATGAAGAAATGCATTACTTTCCGAATTATTTGTTGATTCCTCTTTTAAATACTCAGTTTTCCCATGATATCATCTTCTGCGTCAAGCCAAGGCATCCAGACGCCATTGTGACACTCGGGATATGATTTTGGATCGACTGGGGCGTTTGTTTGATTCATCAAAACATTTCGATACCCAGCTATAAAATTCTCCAACATTTCCACCATCTAGAGCCCAAACCATAGCCCAAGAATTAAAAACTTGTCCCTTTATCACATCATGTGATATGACAATAGCTACTCACATCTGGAAAACGATTGGAGATATTAGTTGTCTCGCAAGGATCGATCTCCAGATCGAAGAGGCAAGTTTCAGAGCAATTGGCGAATTTAGTGAAAGGCTCGCAGATAATTCTCCCTCGTGCTCGAAGATCTAGAATAATGGAGGAATTCGCGAGGACCCCTGTTGTCTCGAGAATGGCTTGACTAGTTGATGATGACATAATGGCATTCAAGTCGTATGCCGGTGCTGAGGAATCTTCATCGTCAATGTTGTTACCATAATAACCATCATAATGTGGCATCGCACCTTCAATCAAGATTATTCCACAGTCTTAGAGTCTTCTCTCTTCTTGCATAATTATCTGATGATCATTCTTCAAGCCTGAATTTCGGCCAATAGAATTGCCTCAATCGTTGTCACGTGGTACAAACTACATGGTCTTCTGATTATTTCACTCATCCATGATCAACTTCACGATTCTTATTCCTCAATTGTGAGTTTCGTCTAATGGGGCAATTCTATTGACCGATATTTTGATTGAGATAATAATTCCTCGACTAGCACACGAGTTTAAAAATTAATCAGGTATTCCCCTCAACATTATCTGTAGACGAATGAAGTCGTTGAGTGTCTCAGAAAAATTATTTCTGAATTAAAGAAATTTTACTTCCCCATTTCTTTGCAATGAACCTATCAGGAAATGCCCGATCATTTTGAAACTCTTGTGGTATCGAAATTAATGACTACCTTTCTTCAGGAGTTTGTATCGCCCGATAATGGCGGCTTCGCGATCCACCTTTTCATCGATATTAATCAGTAATGATTTTCTGCTACCAGGTTCTCCTCGTTCGATTGTCGGCCACTGATTGACACCATCGATGACTCCAAGGTCTTGATCATTACCGCCAGCTGCAGCGTACAGCGTTGGTAGCCAATCCGCCATGTGGACAAGGTCGTCGACAATTCTTCCCGGATTTTTTATGAGCGACGAGTAGACACATGCAGCTCCATGTACTCCACCTTCATAAAATGAGGATTTAATCTGAAAGAAGCAGTTGATAAATATCATTTTGATTCACCTCATGATTGAACTCATTCTTCGTGTCATGTGATGAATAACTCACCCCCCGCAGAGGATAATTTGATCCGTAATTCTCATGCTCTCCAAATGTTGGAGCTCCATTGTCAGCCAGAAAAATAATTATTGAATTCGCTAATATGTTTTTCCGATTTAGTGCTTCTACCACGCGACCCACAGATTCGTCCACAGCAGTTACCATACCTTGCAATGAAAGAATCATTCTTCAAATAGAATGATAAATAACATGATAAATGTTTTTTTTAAGTTTTTTAAGCGTTCATCTGCCAAGTCGATAAGACAATAAAGATTGAAGGTTTGGATTTGCGAATTTGAAAAGGAGACATTTTCCGTTAAACCTGAGAGCGATTCTTGGCAATGTCTCAGATTTTCTTGAAATTTTTTTACAATTTTCTAGTATACATGAAAAACACATCTCTGATTTTTTCTTATTTTTCGGACGATTTGTTCTATTTCGTCTTTCTTATTTGATTTTTTAATTCACATAGTTGGTATTTATTTATCATTCTATCACCGAGAATTATAGATTCAAGATATTTCAACGATGAGCAAAGATAATCTCTAGTCTCCATGCAGAAAAGTATCTCTTATCTCATTAAGGTAGTACTCCCGTATATCGAAGGATGAGATTTCGATGAAAATTGAAATTTCATGAAAAACTGAGGCGTCCTTAAAATCACTGTCTGGTTTGACAAAATGTGCCCTATATTCGTATAATGTTTCAGATCCCGTGATGGAACCTTCACCGCTGTCAATTGGTTACCTGCATACGTGAGACGTTTTACATTTTCGATGTAATGAAATGCTTGCTTTAATGCCGTGAAATTTCTGACTTCGAGTGACGGATCCTCAACATCACTAGAATGTGGTGCAAGATGAGATAACTGAAGGTACAAGGGCCGGTGAATATCGTGCTCTTCAATTATCTTGACGGCTTCGTCCGTAAAAATATCCGTGGCATATTCACCTGTCCTGGCCCAATCTGGCTTCAATTCCTTGGGATTGTCGCGATGGAAATCATATCCAGTCACACCCTAGAATTAGATCTGGATGTGAAATTGATTTTATTGCGTTCATCAAATCTTGATGATGCAGACGAAGAGAAAAATCGAATAAAAATCACCAGAAGAACGTATAAATTACGTCTCGAATTGTAATCCGCGAACGAAGTGGAGTTCAATGAAGTTCAATGGAGAACGTATGAATTAGAATAGAAATACGATCCCCTACCCCGTAACAACTCTTTGTACCGGCATTTTTCCTTAAGGTAGTACACCCGGTACATCATGGGTCAAGCTAGAGTACTGATGACTTTGATTAGCGCGGTAGTTTGGTTTGACAACATCACTCGACGGCTTGTACGTCTGTGTGAAGCGTTTCCATGTGTATGTTGTGTTTCTGTCATGAGAGCTCACCTAACCTGAGTAGCCTTGTTGCCACATCGATTGATTTCACACTTAATTAATTAATTCCAACATTTATAGCCCATGATTCAACATTTTTCAACTGGAAAAATGTTCTTTTTCATGCATCAAAGTCGAGAATTTTGTGGCAGATTTTTGAAAATTATCGAACGTTGAGGATTTTTTTTTTGTTCATTCCTACAAAATTACCGGACAACAATTTCTTCTTCCGGATTACGCGAATAATTTCGTAATTTTCACTGAATATTTCTCTTCATGTAATGCCTTCAGTGCAGAAGAATCAGTTGAGAATAGCGGAGTCACAATTATTTTTGCGGCTTTCAGAATTTAGAATAGCCTTCAACATATACTGTAATAAATGCACCTCAAAACTTACGAAAATTGTTGTTGCATTATGTCTATAGTAGTCAATAAAACCATTATAGTATCCAAAAAAAGTATCGAATCCCCGTTTTGCCGGGGTAAGCTCATCACTACTATATCCAACATGCCATTTGCCAACGAGTCGTGTTGAATACCCAAGGTTCCTCAAATGTTCTGGAAGTAGTTTTGTAGTCAAAGGTATACCTCGCGGTTCACCCGCCAGTAATGGATAACCTTGCATACCTATTTTCAAAAACATATATTTATTTATTTTAGTTGATTTGATTTTCACCGTTCCAGTGAATCAACACTATCAGGGAATATCCATTACGTCATATTCAAGTTTATCCTTATGTTATGTCCCACAGATTATGCTCAATTATGTTATGATTGAATATTTGGACATACACCATTATTAATATGACACTCAAAAGCAACGGAAATCTGACGGTTAGAATAGGTCACTTTCTTCCCGTTATTTGGGGACTAAAATGGATCTTTCTATGTAGGTATGACGGAAATAGTATTTTTCACGCCTAGGACGAAAAAAGGCGAAGATTATAACGCGCATGAGTCAGAATCACTTTTTTCGGCGGGACTATGATGCTATTTTATGTTATTGTGGCCGTAAACGCGTTTTACCGATCGCGATGACATAAAACTATTTTTGGCAAACCCAAAAATAAGACTGAAAAAATATATGGAATGAATGATGAAATTGAAAAAAAATTAAATGGGATAAAATAAGGAAGGGGTAACTTTTTTAGGATGAATTATCGTGGAATAAATTTGTGGGATGAATTTACTGGCGAGTGTTCTGGTGTATCAATAAAAAAGTTTATTACTATTAAAAAGCTCCGGTTGATGCACTAAACATATCGTTCCATTGGTTGATGTGATATAAAAATAAATCATACCCTCTCTAATTGGATAACGTCCGGTGAGAAAGGCAGTCCTAGAAGGTGTGCAAGTCGGCAATACATAATGATTCCGCAAAATCAATCCGTTGTAAGCCAGAGAATCAATATTTGGCGTTGGAATTTCATTGGATCCGTGGAAACTCACATCGTTCCATCCCTCAAAATAAAAAGAATAAATATATGATTTACTATAATTTAATATGCTTGTCAATTGGTATAAATTACAAGGTCATCAGCTATTATGACTATAATATTTGGAGAATTTCCAGGATTATTAGACTGCACTGCAGACACGGAATATATTGCGTAATATATTGAAATTCCCAGAGTGAATTTCTTGAAGAATAGTGACTCCATATCGATAATGTCAGGGCTTAAGTGACAACGTATCGCGTGTTGAAATACAACTGTGAATAGACATGAGTGGGTTGAAATTATGTAGTGTAAAACAATTTAACAATAGTGCCCTCTACGTGTCGTAAATCCTTCAGAATTTTGTTCATTTTTTAGTCCACTAACAGATGGCTGAAGGTATTTTGTGGAAAATTATGTATGTGATATGTGGAATACACGCGCCTCAGCGATAAGTTACTAATACAAACAACTCAAGGATTGCATATATCATATATCATAATTTTCAATAACACTGTGACTGATCATTAATTATATAACGATCATTGCCTATCTATAATATGTTATTGCAACAATTTGGATTTTTTTACAGTGAATAATTAGTGACAGTAGATTACTCAATGCTATGAGAATCGTTTTTAAAATTCTCGTATAAATCGTATAATCGCAAATGAAAAAAAAGATAATATCTATTTTTCGAGAACTCTTATAAAATGTCGATAATTTTTTTAATCCCACTGCCAACCGATGGACTTGCTCTATTCGATTGTTTTTTATATACTCACCGCGAAAGTCAACTAATTATTCATTGAAAAGAGCAAAAACAATACGGTCATATTACAGATCTAGATAAGTTTATATTTATTATACTATGGGGTCATTATTTCTTGGAGAGACCGTCTGTGTGGTCTTACGACGAAACTCTATATAAATGTTTATTAAATAATATAAACAAATCTCTAAGCATGGAAAGAAAGAAACCATGATGGCGATGCTTTGGTTTTTGTGATTTCGAGATCGTTTGTTATACTGAAGTCAGCATAAGTTTTAACATTGATTTTAGGAGTGGGGGACATGGTTACAAGTGGTAACTACGTGGAGTGGGGGTACCCAGAGAAGTAAAAACTTATGCTGACTTTAGTATAGTTCGGCGACTGCTCTCGAAGTGTGAACACATCTTAGTAAAATATAATTCAATTGCTCTTACTTAAACGTCTATTCATTTATTGACCTTCCAATTCCAATTAAAACCAATATTATCTTTTTACTCGGTATTGTACTGAATATTTTTTGAATATTTTGTCTCTTACCTATATATATGAAATAAAAAATTGGTAGATCGTGTTAACTGCTGATTGGAATTGACAGCCCAACACGTGGACCAACTCCATAGACAAAGGGCCTTGTCTAATGGGTTGACCTGACACCCTGGACGATTTGGTGACCGAGGATACTTGGAGACGAACTCTCGAGCAAGCAACATTAAATTTACCACAACCAACCCAGCTTATATTATATCGAGTCTTTAACCAAAGTTTAATTGTTAACAATAAATGGAAGATCGGATCAAATAATTAAATAATTGTTATATATTGTATCTCCTACAATATATGGGCTCGCATATATATATTCATATATTCAGCGTGTATATGATTCATTGAATTTTCGGCCGAAATATGTGTGAAATGTGTGTATATAATTAATACATATTTCTTGCATATTTACCGGTGTCCATGTGGTTTTCTTTTACAGGTAATTTCGATTTGACTTTGATCTGATCCATGCAAGTACATGGAGGATCGACAATAGGATCGAGATGTAATCCCCCTTGCGATCTTTCTCACCGAGAGTATCATGATAAAAAAACGTTCGGTATTGAGTCAAAATAAAACAAGAACTCGTGTATTCATCAAAGAAATGGAGTTCAAGGCAACGCCAATAACGATAGAAAGGATAAACATTGTGTTCTTTGTTGGAGTCGTTTCCGATCGTTAGAAATAAATTCCAAGCTGAAATTGAATGCCGTTAGAAGTATTATCATGAGATCACCGAATTGATCTTTCACCGGCCTTGAAATCGGGTCGTTTGATCAGATTTCACAAATCCCAGTCCAGACTTCTGAGAGAAATCTCGAATGATTTCCGGGACAGCTCTGTTGTTTAGCGCCTAATTTTTTTCCCTGATTGTTTTCAAAGCATTCGTAGAAAACATTTGAAAACAAGAAAACGGCAAAATGATTGAGTATTCGCTTCCCTTCAAAAAGTATTCGTTGGTATGGGTGAGAATCAGCCGTAGGCACCACCCGCAAGATCCGCCCACGTTTGAAGGTACGCACCGGCCGGCAATTCCCATCTTCGCCAGGGGGAATATCTTCTCCTTCTTTTCTCTCTTCACCATGAGATCAGCACACACCTGCAGAATATTCGCAGGACACGCGAGGAGATATCCCCGAGACTTCTGAACGCCCCCGCGGGCACACGCCGACATCACGCGAGGCCACTTGGACAAAGAAAAACAAAAACAAAAACATTTTGTTGATGTTTCTTTTTTGTTAATTTTATTTAGTTGATTTGTCTTGAAGAAGTTGGAGGTTTGGCTGATTGAGGGGGAAACGATTGGAAATAGTGGTGACCCGTTACAAGTCAACGGGAGAGACGTTCAGGGTAATTGGTTGATCGGGGGAAGACGAAGACTCTTGGTGATTGGTTACCAAAGAAGAGGAATGAGGGAGGATTAACACAGGTATTCTTCCCACGCTTCTTCAACGTTACAAGTTCATTCTAGCCTTCGGGGCATGATGGAGCTGCTCCCGAATGACGAACGCGATCACGAATACCGATGCGTAATTTTGACGTTCCAGACGTCAATGCAACTTTCACGAGAGGTATATTCAAGCGATTATAGATCTTTCAGTTGTACCTCGTTGTTTTGTTGGAAATCCTCTAGACCTAATTGGCTTCTGAATTCCTCGGTAAGGAGATGCCTTTCAGAATGGTAATGTTGATAGTTTGGGTAATGCAGTTGCGAGCTTGAGATGATGGTATTTTGTAATTGCTCTGCGACCTAGAAGCATGCGAGCTCAGTCGATTCTTAATATTCAACGCGTGATTCAATGGATGATTAAAGGTGAAGAGTTGTTTCCATCATTGCAAGTGCGGAGTTGAGTAGGTTTTATTGATTGGTGTTGGAGTATTTGTTGAATAATCTTTGATTGTTGGACAAAAATCACTCGACAGCCATTTATGACTTATTAGGGAAATGATTCTATCTATGAAGGATTAATTTATGATCAGGGCTTTGTATTTGAGAGCGATTGGGTCCCTGTTCTTGGGGTAAAAATTGGATTTCTGTTTCTCGTTTTTCTAATGCGGCAATTTTTCCTTAAGGTTGTTGTCGCGTAGAATTTTTTTTCGACAGTTTTCGTTAAAAATTTTATGGTGAATAGTTTGAAAAATTAGCAACAAAATGAGCCTTTTCCGTTTGCAATTGACCGTTTTGAACTTGAGATATAAATTTTTGAAATTCGAGTGATTTAACACGTGTTTAAATGGAGTTTTGCCGATTAGAATTTTTTAAAAATCAACAGCTCGACAGTTTCAGAAATAAAAAAAAACGTGGAATATACATCGTGGGAGGAAATACAGAAAAAAAAATCAAATCGATTGACCGTTTGGTTTACGGAATATAATTATTGGAAATTCATAAATTTATATAATTAAAAATAGTTAATATGGAAAATATATAGTTATGCTTTAGCTATCCATGCACAATGCAATCAATCAAGTGAGACTATATACCGCTAAAAGATTGTGTTCTAAACTGGCCCGTTTTACAGCGGATAAACTTTTTACAGAGACTGTCGCGCGACAACAGCCTTAATTATAGTCTCCAGTCTTTGGGTAACGGTCCTCCAGAACAGACGTCTTCCTCGAGTCGGTAATAAAGAGAATTTTATCAAATAAATTGGTGGATTTATTTAATATCTCGCATCCAGATTCTAGGAGTCACTGTTTTTTTTTTCAGATTTAAAAAAGTGTGAGTTGGAAGAGAAATTGTACGAACCGTCATGCGAATTCGGTATCTTCGAACGGTATCTTCAGTAAAAATTACCAATTATTAGTCTGACGATCACATGAATTTCTCGGTACTATTTTCATTAAATAGTTCTCTCCGTGTATCCTATTTTTACCGCCAATTCATGGGACAATGTTTTATAGGGGAAAGATTCTGTTTTTTCGGGAGTGCTTTCTTGATTTGCGACCGGCGATTTTCAGATTCTTCACTCTAAGAATTTCTGAACTTTAGGTTTTTTGGAATCCAAAACTACTGTATGAACATGACACACGAGAGAGGCACGGTGTTCAGCGAAATTGTATAGAAATATAAGAGAAAAATCCGAGCAAAAATCTGAAACACGAAAGAATTACGTAATTTTTCTGGAAACTGTGAAATCCAGTGGAAATTTTACTAATCATTATCGCCAGGAATTTTCATTCACCATTTCCTGAATTTTCCGTGTTTTCTGCGGCTATTTTTATTCGACTTTTTTCTCCATGCAAAACTCAATATTTGTGATTTAAGTAAAGGCATAAATCATTACTGACTGGAAAGTGATGAATCAGTGAGTAAAAAGGCAAATGAAAATTTCTGGTTAAAAATATAATTAGCAATTTTTGTTAGAATATCAAGTTAAAATTCATAGAAATATATTGAAGTGATTTATGATGATTACAAAAATGAATCGATGTGGAGGGCTCCACGGAGTCGCCTCGGAGTCTTTCTTTGGTGACGAATGTTCTGATGGCCTTTGTGGCTAGTCTTTAGTCTCTTGGAGATATTGATAGAGTTCAGACGGTATTCTTCCTCGTGCGATTTTAATAAAGAAATAGTGATTAGATTTTATTAACTGTGTTTTAATTAATTTAACTATTCCATTTCCAATAATTTTTAGTTATCGGCGAGTTTGATCAGGTTGACCGGAGGACGATGAGAATTGAAGAGACGTTTTGTGGGTAGTCACCCATTGGGCATTGCGATTGTTATTAATTAGGCAGTTGGTGTGCCAGGTGGAGTGCATCACCTGCAGCTGGAGGACTCTGCACTGTTATACAATGTGCAATGGGTACTTTACCGTATGTGATATGAGCCACGTGACAAGGGAAAAAGGGCACTGGGTGCACACTGGTAAAGAGATAGGGGCCGCACGTGGCGGCTGACCCACATCCAGCTGTTAAAAAAAAACATGAGGTGAATAGGTAAAGGAAGTTCTAATCTTGATTTCCGAAGAATCCTCTGATTTATCGGTTAATGTTGTTTATTTCTACAATGGACGTATTGCATATAAATATTGGATTATCAACAGGAATTAGTAAATAATAAAAACTGATTAGGCTTAGACTTTAATTACTTATTAAACGCACTCAGAAGGTATATCCTTTCTTCTATGACCTCTGCAACTCAGCTCACTGATAGCAACCAAAGTTTTCACGCCCTGGACCCATTTAATATAAGGCCCTTGTTCATTCATCTCTCTCTATTTTTGTTTATATAAACTGTTCTCCTTATCCTGATGCTGTTTTAAGAAAAATTATAAAATAATAATATGAGCCAAAACAGCTATGGGCTAGTTACTTTTTACAATTTACTAAGCGTAAATAAATCTCCAGATTTTTGCCAATTAATTGGAGTAATTTCGGGTAATTTTCCAGTGGTGCACTGCTCATTTTAAGGATATTTTTATTTGTGAAGAAAATCAAGTTCTCTCACATTTTCATGCTACTTCATCATACTTTACGTTCATAGGGAGCCTCAGACTTACGTTTTTTTTCCATCGCAAAGCAAGATGAATTGATGCCATATAAACTGTTGTATCCCCTAATTTTTCGAAACTTTTCAAAAGATTCATTGCTGCATTAATTCTTCTGAAACCATTCGTATTTTTTGTGAATGCATACCAGATAATATCCACGGTACGTATTCTCTCATGTAATAATCAAATCACTCTAAATTTGTGAGTCTTTGTTACAACCATTCGAGGTGAGGATATAAATGATATAAATTAATGAGGATTTAATCAATGATCCTTATTATGAAAGTAGAAACACAAAAGTGAAGTTGGCCCGAGTCGAAATATCTCGAAACGGGTAGGACTAATCCCTCATTGGTCAACTGGAACCGCCAAATTCAAATTCGGCGCACGGAGTGCGCAGTAGATCTCGTGATAGTATAAATTGCCCGGTGGCCTGACGATGTGGTCAAGGTCGCTGCCTCACAACGGATAGGTTCCAGGTTCGATTCCTGACCGGGCAGAATAGTGAGATCTAACCAATTAAAGTCTCGACCATCATCGACATATATTCTAACAGAGTCGAAGCAATGTAAAATAACCATACAAAAAAGAAGATAATGTTATGGAAATAGTCTATTTACTACTGCGGAACAGTAATGAATGATTCAAGATATTATATATTCTGCTGAAAAGAAAAGCACTTAGAAAATATATTGTATTTTAGGTTAGAATTATTTACTTGCCATCCGATTCTTTCCCGCCCAATGTAGATAATCACAAGGAGGTGCATTTTTATTATATTCTATTAGAAATACTAGAATTTACCATAGAATTGAGTAAAAAATGTACTTGAATTAAGTATAAAATATTGGCAGAAAACACTAGTATTTGAATTAACATTTTCAACATCCACTTTTTTCTGATTATGCACAGGTTGATTTGTTAATTAAAAATCCAGATTTTCTGTCTTTCTTTCAATATATTTTAATGCAAATGATTTTTCGATAATTCCTGCACCGCCATGAGCAAAAATACATGAAATTGGGGGAAAAAATTATGAAGTACATAATGACAGTCTTTATAAGAATGCAAAAAAATACCTTGAAAAAAATGATAATGACAGAAACAAGCGTATAAAGGGTGTTAGGGTGTCCCTTCCTCTTCGGGTTGCCAAATGATACGTTGAAATTAAATGCGTGCAACACCTGTATATCCGACGAGTACTCAACTACATACACTGTGTTGTAATGAGCCTCACGCAGAGGGAATAAGCGCTGGGAGGAAAAAAGAAAACGATGATGGCCTTTCACTCTTCGTGATTATTGATATTATGAGTGTTTACTGCATAATAATTTATCTTTTCTTCATAATTCCAGTCCTCTAATTATGAGCGCGAAATTATTGATAATAATTTCATGGAACTCGTGAGAAACGGGTAAACTTTATTTTGTTGGGCGGTTATTGCAGAATTTATTACGATTAATTGTATTCATTATGATAAAGTTATATGGAATTTTCAATACGATGATTTTTAAAAGCATAATTTTTCCGTTTTGCCTCCGAATGGAAGCATATTTATATTTATATTTATATATACTAGCGTATATGGCGCGCTATGCACGCCAAATCGTCCACGTATGGGGTGTTATCATTGGAATATATATATATTTATATATTTCCAAGGTAATATATACATATATAGAATTTCAAAAAGAAAATAGAAAAAAGTCTGAAAATTTTTTATATAAAAAAAATAATTTAAAATTTAATAAATTATATTAAATTTAGATATTATAT